GATATGAGAATGATACTCCTTCCCTATTAAGGAGTAAGAAGGACGCTATGATGTAGGGAAAGTCTATGAGAAAGAAGAACAGTTGCCCCTTCTACCCCAATATATTATAAGAAATAAAAGGGAGTTGACTAAATGCTATGGAGAGTTTTTTTAAGTCTTTATTTACTTCACTCGAGATGAACCCCAAGGGGAAGGGACCAAGTGAAAACATCCAGATACCTATGCCTGTGGATTCTGAGGGAGGATGCTCAGAAAGATTACCCTAAAGTATCTTTACTTATTTCCCTAAGTTGTGTATGGCATGTAATCATTTGAGTAGATACTGAGGTATTGATAGGAGCAGGAGACTTGCTAAGACCTAGGGTCCAAACAAAGTGGTTGTCACATGTAAACTATCAGGCAAATGCCCTAGACTGTGGATTATAGTCATGGCCACTTGCATGTCCTCTAAAAGGTCAAATGAAACCACCTACACCTTGATGGTCAACAGTCCAGGGAGCATATTCATCTGGATGCCCTGAGAAGAGCTCAGAGGAAACTAATGAGATTCCAGAGAATGCTATATGAGTTCTAATCATTTGTCTTCTCTGTTGACATGAAATTCAACTTGAAAAAGAACAAGGGTAGTTGGCAAGAGGAGAAATGGGGAGAGGAAATCTGTAATTCAGAGAATTTGCCCAAAAGAAACTGAGTCATTCAAAATATATATTCAAACTGGAAAGCTTGTAATGCAGAAAGTAGGAAGCTAACACTCTCTACCCTTCCCATCCAAGGAGGCATGGAGAAATTTTAAGATCAGACATATCAGATGGAAATAAACTACTCGTCCTTCTAGTTGAGCATGGATTTATGCTCTCTCCAGCTATTCCCTTGTGCTCTTCCCTCATTTCCCTTTTCCTCTGTAGTGCACTCAGCCGATGCTCCAGGGCCACAACTCCACCTGGCAGAAGCAAATTTCTGTGCCTGTTCTCACCACTGGGAATTTCCACACAAAGTTTTTTTGATCAGGTTTTTTAAAGATAGGCCTTCCATGAGGACTTCAATGCTTCTGTTTCCACCACCTTGATTACCTTCCACCTCTTTCCTTTTGCCACCTGCGTGACTCCTACCTGTCCTTAATGAATCAACTTGAACTTGACTTTTATTCCACAGTCTGAGTCAGAGGCCAGTCCTATGGGCTCTCAAATCCCCCTACCCATGTCCAGCTTCCTCCCTCTAACCATACTGCATGTGTTCACACACTTCTGTTTCCCTCGCTAGACTGTGAGCTCCTAGATTCCTATTCTGTGGTTCAGTTGCTTTTTCTTAGCACCTAATTAATAGAAGATATTCATTTTGGTGCTGAGTGTTTATAACTTGTGATTCTGTCTCATATTTTACTACTTTGTATGTTTTACTCATTCAGAAACATGTTGAGTACCTACTACAGATCTGACATGAAACAAAACTCAATCCTTTAAGATTATAATTCTATAAAGCAGATAAATAAACCTAACAGAAATATAATATGTTCAGTACTTTGAGAAAGAAAGCATTATGGGAGTAGAACAGACAAAATCCTAACTTTCATAAAGGATTAAGTCAGCTTCATAGAGAGGATATATTTTATTTGAATCTCCAAAATTGAGCCATGTTCTGCAAGAAAAGTATGGGTGGGGTGGGGAAACATGGAACAGCATACGAAAAGCAAGGAAATACAATTCAAGTTTGTATGTTTAACAATTATTCAATCCAAGAGTTGAAAGGATAGGTAGAGGTTGACTCAACACTTTAGCTGTATGTACTAGCTGGAACCTAGGAGATGTTTGAGTTACAACCTCACGTCGTAGACCTGAGCTTTCATTGTCAACTTAATATCTAGGTAAAACTATAGACTTAATTATTAGCTTTAGACTGCCAATGTCTCATTTACCCATGCCATCATAGAGTAGAAAAGTGTTTTCAGTGCCATCTCTTCCAATTTCCCTGGCAATGTGGAGTCTTTCCTAGAATATCCATGTCAGGAGGTCATCCTGTAGACTGACCCATGTTCTTGCAGTGGTTCCTTTCAAGTAAAACACTTAAGAAAAAACACGAGGAACGATCCAAGATGGCCGATCGCTAACATCCCGGGATTGCAGCTCTCAGGGAAGGCGTGGAGAACTAGAGGACGCCACACTTTCAGACAAAGTCTGGTCGCTCACGGAGCAGAAGATCCCCCAGTGGTGGAAACACACGGGTCGCCAGCGCGACTCTCGTGGTCGGCGCAGCGGTTCCGCAGGCACCTCGGCGCGGCAGCTCTCGGAGCAGAGTAAACGGGACCGCTTCCCCTTCTGACCGAGGTTTGGAGCCCCGGGAAGGCAGAGTCGCCTACTACGGAAACAAGAAGGAAGCCCAACAGGAGAATCCTGGGCAGAAAAGCACCATCAGTTTTAATGCCGCTGCTCTGGCCCTGGGAACTAACAACCTGGACGTCCACTCAAGAGACCTAATCTGAAAGTTGGTAATTTCAAAGACAAGAGGAGGATAAATTTACAATGACGGGAAGAAACCAGTGTAAAAAAGCTGAGAATACTCAAAGTCAGAACGCCTCTCCCTCTAAAGATGATCACAGTTCCACATCAACAATGGAACAAGGCTTGATGGAGAACGAGCGCCTCCTGATGACAGAATCACTCTTCAAGGAATGGATAATAACAAACTTCGGTGAGTTAAAAGAACATGTTGTAGCCCAACGTAAAGAAACTAGGAACTTTGACAAAAGGCTTGATGAAATCCTATTGAGAATAGACAACTTAGAGAGGAGTATGAGTGAATTAATGGAACTGAAGAATACAATACAGGAACTCCGAGAAGTATGCACAGGTTTAAACACTCGAATTGTTCAAGCAGAAGAAGGGATATCAGAGGTCAAAGTCCAACTTAATGAAATAAAACGTGAAGAAAAGATTAGAGAAAAAAGGATAAAAAGGAATGAGCAAAGTCTCCAAGAAATGTGGGACTATGTGAAAAGACCAAATTTACGTTTGATAGGTGTACCTGAATGCAACGGAGAGAATGAATCCAAGCTGGAAAATACCCTTCAGGATATTATTCAGGAAAATTTTCCTAAACTAGCAAAGCAGGTCAACATTCAACCCCAGGTAATACAGAGAACACCACAAAGATATTCCTCAAGAAGAGCAACCCCAAGGCACATAATCGTTAGATTCACCAGGGTTGAAACGAAGGAGAGGATACTAAGGGCAGCCAGAGAGAAAGGTCGGATAACCCACAAAGGCAAGCCAATCAGACTTACAGCAGATCTCTCGGCAGAAACTCTACAGGCCAGAAGAGAGTGGGGGCCAATATTCAACATCCTCAAAGAACAGAACCTTCAGCCCAGAATTTCATATCCAGCCAAACTAAGCTTCACAACTGAAGGAAAAATAAAATCTTTTATGAACAAGCAAGAACTCAGAGATTTTATTACCACCAGGCCTGTTTTACAAGAGCTTCTGAAAGAAGCATTACACACAGAAAGAAACAACCAGTATTAGCCTTTCTAAAAATACACCAAAAAGTAAAGAGCACCAACATAAAGAAGAATTTACACCAACGAATGGATAAAACAGCCAGTCAACATCAAATGGCAGTAACCCTAAATTTAAATTGACTAAATTCCCAATCAAAAGACACAGCCAAAACCCAACGGCATGTTACATCCAGACCTGTTTCACATGCAAGGATACACAAAGACTCAAAACAAAGGGATGGAGAAAGATTTACCAACCAAATGGAGAGCAAAAATAAATAATAAATAAATAAAAAGCAGGAGTTGCAATTCTTGTATCGGATAAAATAGATTTTAAAGCAACAAAGATATAGTGGTAAAAGGATCAATGCAACAACAAGAGCTAACGATCCTAACACCCAGATAGGAGACTTAGATTCAATGAGACAGAAAATTAATAAGGATATCAAGGACTCGAACTCAGATCCAGAACAAGTAAACTTAATAAATATTTATAGAGCTCTCCACTTCAAATACACAAAATATACATTCTTGTCAATACCACATCACACCTACCCATTAGTTTAAATGAAACATTGATTGGCCATTATTAATACCCAATTTTTTTCAAAATAAAGCAATATTTCCATTTACTCTCCCTCTTTCTCTTCCTCTTTCTTCCTCTCCTTTACTTAGTTTTTTTTTTCTTTCCTTCTCTCAAAAAAAAGAAATCAACTTGTAAACCTCTAGATCCAGGTGGGCAATGTCTCTTTCATTGCTTGATTTCCTTTCTTCCCTTCCCTCCCTCCCCGCTTCCTCCCTTCCTTCCTTCCTTCATCCCTTCCTTCCTCCCTACCGTCCTTCTTCCCTTCCTTCCTGCCTTCCTCCCCCCCCCAAAAAAATAAATAAATAAAGAAAGAAAGAAAGAAAGAAAAAACACTTACTGCTTGCTCTCAAAAGCCTTCTTTAATCATATACAATGGTGTTAAAACAAATGGAGATTATATCTGAAGCATATCTGGATTTCCTAACACCTGCTTGTGGTTTGAGGAATTGAATAATAGGAGAAAGGGGAGTGAAGGAAGTGGTGACTTTCTTGTGTGTGTGTGTGTGTGAAACTCTTGAATATTCATGTGCATGACATCAGAACAATATCCTGCTTCTCCATTTCTCTCTCTCTCTCTCCACATCTGTGTGCATGTGCATGTATGTGTGTGTGTGTCTGTCTGTCTATCTATTTGCATAAACTATGCTATTTCTCTTTCAGTGGTTAAGTAAATTTCTGCCTCTTCTGCGCTTTGATGTAACTGGCATTTACTCATTCATTATGAATGAGTGAATGAATTCAATAAATAGTCATCAAGCATCTCTAATGAAATCTTAACTATAAAAGTGAAGAATGGACTATAGGAATACAGAGTAGAGACATCAAAAAATCTATTATCTAAAGATATTTACAGTGAAGGCAAAAATAATATAAGACAAGAAGGATGTTATTAATATACATTTATAAAAAAATTTTTTTCAGATGCCAAATGAAAGTTAAAGAGCCTAAGTGTTTCCAAGATAAGAGAGAAGGAGCCTCCCGAGGGCTATGTGAGGCCAAAGGAAAGATCATGGAGGTAAGGTGAGGTGGAGGAATGTGTCCTGACCTGAGAACCGATAAACAGAGGTGGTGAATGTTTACCTTTGCCAGTAAGAGAAGGAGATGTAATTAGTTAAAGGCAAACAGAGGGCTTCCAAGGAGCCAACAATGTTCTCGTTTTTTAATAAGGTGTTAGTCATAAGAGATTCTTTTTATGATATCTCAGTAGGCTGTTCATTCGTTTTATTAAATTTTCTGTGTATGTTAAGTTTCACAATACATTTGTTTTGAAAGAGATTAATATGTGAAATAGGCTCTGTTCATTAAAAATGCCGTATTTGCTAAGCCTCCACCGTGATACTGGGAAGTCACAGGTGAGTAAGACATAGTCATGGCTCTCAGGAAGCTCCCATTCTTTACACCAGAAGGAGAAGGGGGTGACTGGAGATGAGCCCAGAAAGGTAGATGGAGACAGGGTCATGAACACTGAATACACAACGCTAAGGTACTTCAACATTTTCCAATACATAACAGCAAGCCACTGATGGGTTTTGAGCAGATTTTTGACATGATATTTTCATTTTGGAATGACAACTTTGGTTATTTCATAAAATGTGGGTTGAGGAAATGACATAAAACTTGGAGTACAACACCCGATAAAGTATTATGTTATTTTTGCTCTCTGAAATATGTGTTTTCCTTCCCTAGTGAGTTTTAAGTTGTGTCACAATCGTGTTTTCCAGAAGTGTACACAATTCTGGTCATAGAAACACAATAAATACAGTGTAATCTCTTTAATCCTTTTTGTTAGAATAAGAGTGATAAAATAGAAGGATTAGTGGAAGGAATTAATGGACTGATGAATTATCTTAATGTCATCAGCTTCATAAAACCTGCTGAGTTGTGCCCAATTTTAACAATATTATGAAGTTAGCTCCTAAATTTTGATTTGCTTCTGAATGCATTTGTCCCATCTTCATCTTCAATCTCTTTCTCCATACCAGGAAAATTTAAAGAGCTATTTATAGCAAATAAGCTCTCAATCTGCATATATCGCCATAAAAAGTATAATTGCAAGTTTAAGGAAGGGGGTGGGGACAGCTCTAGAATTTGTCTGTGGGAGCTTGATTACAAGGTTGCAATCAAGAGACACTGCCCAGAACGTGGCTTTGAGAAAACATTGATGGGAAAGAAGAAAGACAAGAGCCAAGGACCAGAAATCATGTTACTCGAGTCAACAGTTCCTGAACTTGATCATGTTTGCATCATAGCTACAGGGAAATAGGAGAATCTGAGCTATTTTTAGAATTTTGTTTTCCATGTTCCGACAAAAACCCTTCCCTTTTTATTAAGGGTGTTTTTTCTATTTCTTTTAAGTCAACAGTTTTGGGTGGCAAATGCACTAGAACAGTAAAGGAGGAAGGAAACACCAGAAAACCTCGGCGGTGAAAACAGGAGTTCCAGTTTTTACAGGAAGTTTGTGTGGCTGTGTACATGTGTGTGCATGGATTTCTGAGGTTGGAGTGGAGAAAAGAGAGGGGTAGTGCAGAGGACTTTAGGTTTCTCTGTTAATTTTCAACACTCCTTGGATAGAGAAAAACATCAGGAAGGACCTAAGAAAACATGAAAGGTTAAGTGCAAGTTAGAGACCAATTTGAAAAGCTGTAAGACCCGTGCTTTTTTAAAACAGTGAGAAAATAAAGGTCAGCCAGTGATCAGGTTTGAAGGCGTTTTATATCCACCTCAGACGGTGAACTTTATGATGGAACTTTATCCAGAACAAAGAAAAGCAGATTCTAAGAGGAAAAAGGAAACCTTTCTAAGCAGTTCTACTCCTAACATTCTCAGGTCCGGTTTTGGAAAAATATATGAGGACCCATGTTCCATACTTTAAATATTTTAAAGTTATAAAGCAAGCTAAGAGGCCGTTAAATAAAATGGTTTGTCATGTTACATTGATTATAATAGTTTAGAAGAAAGTAATGAGCCATAAACACATGCCTGTGGGCAAGCCATCCTGCCTATCCAGGCTGTGTCTGTATCCCTCTGAGCAGAAACCCTGTGGCCATCCCTTGGGCCTAGAGGCAAGTCTTCTTTCAGGAACACAGGCCTGGGGAAAAGGCCCATGCAGGCCCTGGAAGACGGACTGGGACCGTTTGGACAGAGAGTTCTGTATACCTGGAGAGAGGACTCTAAGTGGGAGATCCCAGGCTCTGGATAGGCATGCCCCTTAGCCTCCTGTACTCCTGACTCGTGAGTTTATGTATTTATCTATCTGTCTGTCTTTCTCCTTCGGTTAAGTTAGTCTAAACCATCTTTTCCGAGACTAGACCTAGACTCACCAGGTGTGTGTAATGCCACATTGTACTCACTCCATAAATGACAGCATGTACTGGTTGCTGAACTACAAGTTTAAAAAAGCACTTAGGTTCATTTGATAGTGAATTGATAAGGAATTTTTGAGGCTTCTCTGAGACCTAGATTAGTGGATAGTGTATAATCCATTCAATTTTTTTCAAATAAAACCAATAGTCAAGGTAGAATAGGCTATGCTACAACAAACAAAATGTCAATCACTTAACATTAGAAAAACTTAAGTATGACTCATACAGATGCCACTGCAGGTGTTGAACACTCTTCAGGACCACTGTCCTCCATTCCAGGGTTCAAGAATCTATGTTGTTTCCTTCTCTGCCATCTTAGGAGGAAGCCTCCATATTTGCTGAGGCAAAGGAAGGGAAGGAGAAAGCGTCACATACTGGCAGTTAAATGCTGCAGACCAGAAGGTGACATTTGTCATTTCTGTGGCTGCTTTAACAGATTATCACAAATTTGGTGGCTTGAAATAATTGGAATACATTCTCTCACCGTGCTAGAGATTGGAAATCTGAAACCAAGGCATCGGGGGGACATGCTCCCTCTGAAGGCTGTAGGAAAGAATATTTTCTTGCCTCTCTCTGTCTTCCAGTGGCTCTTGGCGACGTTTGGTGATCTTTGACTTATGCGTCACTCCAATCTCTACCTCCGTCTTCACATTATTTTCTTTTCTGTCTCTGTGTATCTTTTCCTCTTGTAATAAGGACACCAGTCATTGGACTTAGGATTTACCTGAATCTGAACTAATTATATCTTCAAAGGCCCCACTGCCAAATAATGTCACATTCTGAGGTTCGGCTGGATGTGAATCTAGGGAGATACCATTCAACTCACAATACACACCCAGTGCCCAGAGCTAATCACATAGTCCTACCTAATGCAAGAGGACTGGGTAATACGGAAAGTTCATGGGATATTTGGTGTTATAAACTGAGTGCTCATGTTCCTCCAAAACGTTTATGTTAAAGCCCTAATCCCCCATGTGGTAGTAATCCAAGGTAAGCCTTTTGGGAGGTAATTAGGGTTAGATGAGGTCACGAGAGTGTGGTTGCCATGATGGGCTTAGTGTCCTTGTAAAAGGAGAGAGAAGTTTGTCTCCTTCACGTGAGAGCATCTGCACGCCAGAGAGGGTCCTCAACAGGAGCTAAATCTGCCAGCACCCAGAGTTTAAATCAACAGTAATTGAGCCCAGGATGATTTCCTGATAAAGGAAGCAAAATAGTCTGCTCAATGCTCCCCAGACTGTGCGCTGTTTCACTTCTGAGAAAACTTTAGAAGTGACACTGATGAGCTGGAGCTCATCCAGAAGGTGACTGTAACAGTGAAGAGATGTGATCCCCAGTCATAAGAGATTTGGTTGAGGAACTAGGAATGCTTACCCTGAAAAGAAAGAACTCTGGGAGAAAGTCACAAGGGCCAACTCTGAATATGAGCAGAGATGTCATGTGGCAGAGAGAGGGCCTTATCTGCCTCTAGGATGCAGAATTAAATATAATGGAAATCACAGAAAGGTAGATTTGACTTACTGTTAGGAACACTTTCCATGGCTGTTAAAATAGAAATCATTGGCAATATTCACAAAGTAAGTAGTTGGGACCAATAGGTCCATGCACAAAATTGATGAAGCCACGGTAAGAGTACAAAGGGAGGCCCTCATATCACTCATATACATACATAAATGTTACAATCAAGTACCAAACTGCTAAATAAAATCCATCCTCCTGTCTTACTTGGAGATATGGCTGCATAATAATCTGGAAGGCCCACTCCCACCTCATCCCATCCCTGATGAATACCACTATTCTTCAGCCTCTCTGAAGCACACAGATGCATATACCACAACTGTGGTTTACCCTCTGAAGGGTGGACCCAGGTAAGAGGTCCCAGCAAGCCATAGAAGCAGTAAGTTTAAGAGGCCACTGACTCCAGATAGGCATATCCGTCTGGCCCCGCCAACTCCTCACCAGGGAAGAATGCAGCCAAGGAAAGAATGGCATGGTGCCTGGGCTGGCCACATTGGTCCTGTGGCCATGGGTGGGGCCCATGGACTATCAGAAGTACCTACACATGCACCTCGCCCTGAGAAACAATCTGCTTTTGGCAGACCTCATCAGGCTTCTGGACTCTATACTTGACTCCAAGGAGAAGAATCTAATGAGATGTTGCTTTGAGAGCCACTATGACTCAGTCTCCATGGCCTCCTCGCATCCTGAAGACTAGCCCAGTAGGGACAGAAAACTGGGAGCTAAGAAGCCTGGCCAATTTGAACCAGCTTCTGAGGCAGCAGCTCTCAGCCTACATCCTAGATGTAAGAGAACTCCAGGGCTGGAGTTCTCCGAAGCTTTGCCCTCGGGCAAGCAGTTACATCTAGAACATTTAATAATGAGTGCAGAAGATGAAAGAAAATTGTTTCAAGTTCTGATCAGCCATGCTAGACTAAATATTATCTTTCTATTCTTTATACAGAATATTACAATGCATTGCCATAATAAGAGGCAACCAAAGAATATGCTGCCATAAATGTACAAGTAATTATGGTAGAGGAGCTATAGACAGATACTGTTTCAATTTTATTTTTATAAGATACCCAGGAAGAAAAAAGGTACAAACCACAATACAGTTGTTGGCCAACCCACTCCCACAGTTTCGTATAATGATCAT